GTCTCATTCTTTTTTATGGCTGAGTAATATCCATTGTGTGTGTGTACACACATACACACATGTATATATACACATGTGTATATATACTCATGCACACACACTCATGCATACACATGTATACATGTATACATATATGTGTGCATACACCAATGGGAAGTGTATATACATATGTGCATGGTGTGTATGTGTGTGTATGCTACATCTTTTCTATCCATTCATAACTGCAACACTTTTGTGAATGAAATGAAACCCTATCAATGATGCTGGAATCTGAGACCATCTTAGGCAAATGGTCGCTCTCCTCTTACACCCTATTCTCTTTCTTTTAAGAGAAGTTTCCACTGTGTTCTCATTCCAAACATCCTCACTCAGGCTTAGTCACTCTCCCTTTGTGATTTCGCTTAGTACATGGCACACACCTCTGCTATTTATAGGTCTTACAATATATCCTGTTATGTTTTCATGATCTTTGTATCTGCTTGCTCTCTCATTAGGCCATGTTAGCCATTATCTTTTTGGATTTTTCAGTTTTTAAGTTATAAAATTAAGACATACTTTCAAAATAAAGTTCAAACAGCACTAAAATCTATAAAAGTCTAAGTTTTTAATCTCTGTATCCCAGTTTCTACTTTTTAGAAGTAATCATTAGGAAATGGACTATCTAAATCTAGAAACCTACGCATGAATACATATTTTTCCTTTTTAAAAAAATATGAGAGAGCTTATTCTCAAAAATAAGTAAACGTTAAAAATCCATGAACAACTTTAAGTTTCTCTTGCTTCCTTTGGAGTGCAAAGGTCGGGTTATACTATGTTCTGTATCCTGATTCAGAGTGGTTGACTGAGAGAAGGCTGTACTTAAACAGACTGAGTTCCGGGTGCCTGGGTGGCTCAGTCGGTTAAGCGTCCAACTTCAGCTCAGGTCATGATCTCACGGTTCGTGGGTTCAAGCCCCACGTAGGGCTCTGTGCTGACAGCCAGCTCAGAGCTTGGAGCCTATTTCGGATTCTGTATCTCCCTCTCTCTCTGACCCTCCCTTGTTCACACTGTCTCTCTCTCTCTCAGAAATAAATAAAACATTAAAAATAAATTAAATAAAAAGACTGAGTTCAAGTTCTAGGTCTACCCTTCTCATATGTGCTTGGACATGTTCCATTTGGCTCCATTTTTTTAAGTTTATTTATTTTGAGAGAGAGAGTGTGTGGGGGAAGGGTGGAGAGAATCCCAGGCAGGTGCTCAGTCTTATCACTGTGAGAGATTTATGACCTGAACCAAAATCAAGAGTCAGTGCTTAATGGACTGAACTACTCAGGTGCCGCAACATATTTTTTTTCTCACAAAAAGAAAATAATGCACATATCCTGAAACTTGCTGTTTTTCCTATTCAGTTGTGAGTGTTAGATAATATCCCCGTGTTAACAGAGGGAGTTGAATCGTCAAAGCATGCTCGTGGGAATGAGAGATCAAACTTCACCAAACCAGCACCAAACCTTACTCATGATTCAGTGATTACAGGCAGGAGTTAGGCACAGACATTCCTTCCTGGAGGAGTACGCAGCCCAGTAGTCATTTCAAAGAATGTCACTTTTCCTCTTAGGACTTATTATCAACACACTTAAAATACCTAGTTGTGCATAGACATTAAGTAACACATAAATGTATTTCTGACACACTTCAACCACAATTTTTAATTTGTTTACAGGAATAAAATCCAACCTTAGGACACTGTTTTGTTTTAGATTACAACACAAGTTCTCAATATATATGGAGACTTTTTTTTTTTAACGTTTATTTATTTTTGAGAGAAAGAGCGTTAGCAGGGGGTGGGGCAGAGAGAGAGGGAGACACAGAATCAGAAGCAGGCTGCAGGCTCTGAGCTGTCAGTGCAGAGCCCCATGCGGGGCTCAAACCCATTAACCACAGATCATGACCTGAGCCAAAGTCGGACGCTTAACCAACTGAACCACATAGGCACCCCTGGAAACAGTTTTCTCAAAGGAAGCCTTTTGTGTTTGGGGAATCCTGAGTTTTATGCTCCATGAGTTACACAAATGTAAAATATCTGTGTAATTCTCTTCTATTTTCTAGTCAGCCATGCCCCATAAATTCACATACTCTCAGATTGTTTGCAAAAAGCAATTAAGACAGATCAGGTATTTCCTGACATTTAAAAACAAGGGGCTATTACCTCTTAAAAAATCTTTAGAGTGTTTGCTAGGGGATCTGGTTATCCAGCTGGTAATCCCTCCCCAAAGGAGGAAGCCACAGGCTTACTGTTAACCCTTTCCCTCCTCCCATTGTCCTTTCAATACATTCAGACCTACTTTATTGTAATGTATTGTACTTTTGATAGTTTAATTTTTCCAGAAGTTTTCTTCTTAAAAACAATGAAGTAAATATCCTTGTACACACATCTCTGTGCCCTTCTGCAAGTATTTCTTTAGGAGAGACCCTCAGAAGTAGATATTCTGGGTAAAAGAGAATGTACATTTAATACATGGATGGCTGTCGCTAAGTTGTGCAAATTTATATTCCCACCTGTTTTTTCCATGACATCAAGACTACATGCTATTATTAATTTAAAAAAATTGCCAACCTGACAGTAAAAAATAGCATCTCACAGTTTTAGCTTGCATTCTTTCTTTCAGAAAGGTTGATGTATTAATGACAACAAAGCTGCTCTTGTCAATCCTCTTGGGCCTTTGGCTGCTATAGAAAAGGACAGTGCCGTTGTAACTGTCTTTTGTTACTCAGTTACCTGTCATTGGGTAGTTGTAAAGGTTGCACAGTTGAGATGCTGAGCTCATTGGTAGCATTTCTGTGATGCTCTTACTCAGCAATTCTCTGAATCCAGTGAACATTTGATGGAATACATGGACCTTTTATCAGTGCAGATGGCATCCCTTACTGCCTTTTAATATGCTTTCTTACATAGTGACCTTGAATTAGAAGATAAAGACTTCAGTTCATTCAACAACTGTATCCAGAGTTGATGTAGGAAAATTTGGACTCTATAACACACCTATTTCTCTGATGGTGTTTTACAGTCTAGTGTACCATTAGGATAAGTGACCACTGTGAAAGTGCCATTTTGGTTATAGCAGAGGGTTTGCTAGTATTTTGAGTTGTTACATTTGAGTTGAGTTTCGTTTTAGGCATTTGATTTGTTTGAACAAATCAATGGAAGTAAAAACAAAAAATGCCAATATGCTGGGTGGTTACCTTTTGGAGATTCAGATGCACTCAGATCTGAGATCCTTTGTGCAGTTGGGGGATTTTTTCCCCCTAATCTCTCTAAAATCATCTTCATCTCTTAGATGTTCTTTTCCAGCTCAGGATCCTTTTTACAAAATCAACTTTGTTAAAGTATAACTTAGGGGTACCTGGGTGGCTCAGTTGATTAAATGTCTGACTTTGTCTCAGGTCATGATCTTACCATCCACCATCGGTGAGTTCAAGCCCCACGTGAGGCTCTGTACTGACAGTTTAGAGCCTGGAGTCTGCTTAGGATTCTGTGTCTCCTTTTCTCTCTGCTCCTCCCTTGCTCAAGCTCCTTGTTTCTCTCTCTTTCACAAAAATAAAAAAAATTAAAGTATAACTTATGTACAATAAAATGTACTGACTTAAAGCATATAAGCCAATGAATTTTGACAAACGTATGCATCTGTGTAAATAGTACTCCATTTAGAACTTAGAATATTACCCCCAAAAGTTCCTTCAAATCGCTTCCCAGTCAGCTCCCTTCTACCCTGCCCAGGTAAACTAATCTATAACTATAAATTGAACTTCATGTGAATGGGATCATAAAGTCTAACCTTTTTTGTCTGGTTTCTTTCCCTTAACATTTGAGGGGTTTTTGAGATGGATCCATGTTGTGTATATTCGTAATTTTTTCCTTTTATTTCTGAACATTCTGTTTATGTTCTGTAATTTGTACATTCATCTGTTATTAGACACTTGGGGTTTTGTGGTTCAGAGCTTTTATATATAAAACTGCTATTAACGTTCACATACAGCTTTTCTGTGAATTCATATTTTCATTTTTCTTTAAGTATTTAAAGTATTTAAGACTGGAAGTGCAGAGTCATACAGTGACTGTATTTTTAACTTTATAAGAAACTACCAAACAACTTTTCTTTATTTTATTTTATTTTTTAATCTTTATTTAGTTTTGAGAGGAGACAGATAGAGACAGAGTGAGCAGGGGAGAGGCAGACACAGAACCTGAAACAGGCTCCAGGCTCTGAGCTGTCAGCACAGGGCTGATGCGGGGCTTGAACCCACGAATTGTGAGATCATGACTGGAGCCGAAGTCGGACGCTTAACCGACTGAGCCACCTAGGCGCCCCACAACTTTTCAAAGTGTACGCACCATTTTATGTTCTTACTAGTGATGTTTGAAAGTTCTGGTTGCTTCACATCTTTGTCAACAGTCAACCAATTGTCTGTTTTTCTTTCTAGTTTAGCCATCGTAGTGGGTATATAGTGGCACTTCATTGTAGTTTTTTTTAAAGTATTTTTTAATGTTTATTTATTTTGAGAGAGAGAGGAAGGAGAGAATCTCACGCAGGCTCTGTGCTGTCAGTGTTGAGCCCATGAACTGTGAGATCATGACCTGAGCTGAAATCAAGAGTTGGATGCTTAACCAACTGAGCCACCTAGGTGCCTCAAATTGTAGCTTTTTAAAAAACATGTTTCTTTATTTTGGGGGGGCAGAGAGACAGAGACCGAGGATCTGAAGGGGGCTCTGTGCTGACATCAGGGAGCCTGGTGCAGGACTCCAACCCACAAACTGTGAGCTCATGACCTGAGCCAAAGTTGGACGTTTAACTGACTGAGCCACCCAGATACCCCCCCAAATTGTAGTTTTAATTTGAATTTCCTGAGTGAAGTCTTTCGGTGAAGAATATTCTTGAGGCTTGCTTTATTTTTTTAGAAGACTGTAGAAAAGTCTATATGCTAATTAAAATTCATCTTTTGTATTTTAAAATTTTCTTTAGGTTTCTTTAGAAGAGATTGACGTTAATAATTCAAAATGCCTGAAAATCCTGCTCCAGGTATACTAGATATATGGTTCTATCAGTAAATTAATTAATAATTCAAAGACTGGAATGTATGATGGGATTAACTTGTACTCTGGTTATTCTTCTTTAAACAAGATAAACGGCAGGTCCTTCAGGTTCTTGATCGCCTGAAAATGAAGCTGCAGGAGAAGGGGGACACATCGCAGAATGAGAAACTCTCTCTGTTTTATGAAACACTAAAGAGTCCTCTCTTCAATCAGATCCTCACACTTCAGCAGTCCATCAAGCAACTGAAAGGGCAAGTAAGTTACTTATCAGGGTTTTACAGGTTCGTATGTTCAAGCCAGCAAAGAAAGAAGGAGGTCGAGACAACGTTGTGTATCAGTACACTTAATGCAACAGGGAGATGGTACTAGGACCTGGAACCTACCGGTAGTATCGCACGGATAGTTTAAAATGTTTATGAAGGGTGCCTGTCTGGCTCGCTCTGTAAAGCCTGCAACTCTTGGTCCCACTGCCGTAAGTTCAAACCATACATTGGGTGTAGAGCTTACTTAAAAAAATATATTGATCATAAATTTTGGGTTTGGGTTTGGAATCTAACTTGTACTTATTTAAATATGTAAAGGTCAGATGCCTTCAGACTTCCCAACATCTTCTTCAGAATATAAAATAGTGTTAAGCTTAAATATAGTTTCTTCATGAAGTCTTTTTTTTCTAGTGGGAAGTGATCATACCCTTGTAGCATATTATTAATACCTCTCAATTATCAAATATTTATCAAATTATTACCAAATAAATATTAAGTATCATGGATGTTCTGACTAGAAAGGTCACAGAAGCAGTGTAACTGGTGTTTTAATAGTAACTGTGTTTTCTCCACTATATACATTATGGTAACTGGAGTCTTGGGTTTCTACACACGTAAGTATGGAATCAGAGGTCACACAGCACCACTTCTTAGAGTGATAATTGATTAATAGTTTTAACTGTCCTCTTAGTTACTGTTTTTTTAGGTCAGGGATGGCAAATTGATTTTAAATCGTCTATTCTAGAAGCTGAGCTTGAATAGCAGCTATCCTATGGATTATATTTGGGCAAAATTTCAATTTTTCTAACATTTATTTTAGACAGAGTACAAGTGAGGAAGGGGCAGAGAGAGAGGGAGACACAGAATCTGAAGCAGGCTCCAGGCTCTGAGCTGTCAGCACAGAGCCTGACGCAGGGCTTGAACTCACAAACCATGAGATCATGACTTGAGCCAAAGTCAGATGCTTAACTGACTGAGCCACCCAGTCGCCCCTGGACAGAATTTTAAATGTAATTGGAGATAATGTAGCAGAGTATTGTTAAGTGAACAGTAACAAAATCTGAGAAAAAATGGTTTTTGCTAATAAACCAAAATGGCTGCCCATATTTAGCAAGTGATTTTTCGTATAACAAATTAAAGAGTAAACTCTGTACAAGTATCTTTTTGTGAATTTCTTTCTCTAGATCAGAATTTATACCATTATCAGTCCCCATACTGATGGTTTCATTTCTGTATTCCCTGGCCAGGGGATGAGCCCTGTAGTGCAAGTGAATATCAATAGAAATTGGGAAAGATTACTACAAATCTGTTAGTCTTACTGGTCTAAGAGTGGACTTGACCAACCACTCCATCATAATAACTATCTTTTGTATTTATATAGTTGCAGTCGTTATATGCATAATCATTTTATCTATTCCACTGTAAAATTTGAATTTTTGTTTTTTGAGTGTTTTCATAGAGTTTTTGTGAGTGTTGATTTTTGTTTTCCCTATGTGGTCCTGTTGACATTCGTTCTTGATGTTATCTTTATTCAACTGTGTTGGCACTCATATCAACTGGTGATATACATATATAGATATATATAGATATATTTAATTTATTTATTTTGAAAGAGCGAGAGTGTGTACACAGTGGGGAGGGGCAGAAGGAGGGAGAGAGAGAGAATCCCAAGAAGGTCCCAAGCTGTCTGTCAGTGCAGAGCCTGACACGGGGCTTGACCTCAAAAACAGATCATGACATAAACCTAAATTAAGAGTCAGACACTCAACTAAGTGAGCCACCAGGCGCCCCTCAGCCAATGAGTTTTTATTTCTTAATTTTTTTAATGTTTGTTTTATTTTTGAGACACACACACACACACACACACACACACACACACACACAGACAGACAGTATGGCAGAGAGAGAGAGACGCACAGAATCTGAAGCAGGCTCCAGGCTCTGAGCTATCAGCACAGAGCCCAAAGCAGGGCTTGAACCCATGAACGGTGAGATCATGACCTGAACTGAAGGTGGATACTTAACTAACTGAACGATCCAGGCATTCTTCAGCAGATGATATTTTAAAAATTCTATTTTCTTATTCATCATAATTATAGGTTTCTCTCCCTTCCCACCTTTTTTCCCTATAATGTTTAAGTATAAATGGTACTCATTTGCTGCTAATCCTTAACCTGTGAGTCAGTTTTTGTGTTAACAAAATGGAATAATACCTTTTAGGGTTCTTGTAAGGATTAAATGAGATAATATCTAAGAGTTTGGTATAGTACTTTGCTCATAGAAATCATTCACTAAGTACTGTTATTGTTATTTTTGTTTTGATTACATGTGGATCTTTTGTGGCCTTCTTCATGGAAATGCAAAAGGGCTCAGTGTCTTACATGTTTATCTGACTGGTTGTATCTGTGTCTGTGACGTGTAATGAGCAATGTTGTACATGCTGTTAACTTGAGGTGATAGTAGAAGAGGGGAAGCAGCATATTTTAAGCTATTACATATTCTGTGCAATACTAAGTAGAAACATTATAGCCTTACACACAGTTGCATGCATCTCTGTCTTATTTTTTCTTGTGTAAATATTTAATATGCAATTTATACATGTAATGGCCAAAACAGAATATTTAATAAATAGAATTCTTTTATGTAGGTGTCTGTGGATGATTCTCCTTTGTTTTCTCTCCAACAGCTCAGTCACATACCTTCAGAGTGTTCAGCCAACTTTGAATTTTCTAGGAAAGGTTTATTAATATTTACAGATGGTGCCATTACTAATGGGAATGCTCAAAGACCCTCTAGTAACTTGACTGTCTCTGGGTTGTTTCCTTGGACTCCTACTCTGGGAAATGAAGACTTTCACTCTGTCATTCAGCAGATGGCTCAGGTAAAGTTATATCTTGTCTTAAGACTATGTAGCTATATTTTTCTGTTACAGGTTAAAAAAGAAAACAGTACTCTTTAAAAAGAAACACAAAAACTCTTTGCCTTAAAATTTGTTATTGTGTGTGTGGTTTGCTTGCATTTTTATACTGTTAGGAGATTTTATAGTGTTAGACATTTATTGACTTAAAGTTATATAAGGAAAATATCTGAGTATGGTAAGTTTTTAGACAATTCAATTTGACACATCTCTGCATTTGAAAAGGATTCTTATGATTTTAATCATAGGAGGAAAATTGATGTCTACCAGAAGTGATGAAGCTCCTTTGAAGCTATTTTTAATTTTTTATCAAAACAGAATTGATGAGAGTTAGAGCTAATATAATTTGGAAAATCTAGGGAAACATTTGAAAGAATCATTCATTTTTATCCCTAGTACTATTAAAAATTAAATAGTTGAAATTTTGGATGTGTTAATGTTTGTTCACCTCACCTTCTAGTAAATGTCTTTAAAAAAACGAAACATGAGTTTTAAAGTTAAATAGAATCTGTTTAAGGTGTGATATTTAAATAATGTTCTATACCTAATTTTTTGACTTTGTAGTTCTATCCTGTTAATTTGACTAATAATTTAAAAACTTATTAAAAAATGTTGATTCTTAGAACGCACAAGCAGGGGAGGGGCAGAGAGAGGGATACACAGAATCTGAAGCAGGCTTCAGGCTCTGAGCTGTCAACATAGAGCCTGAAGTGGGGCTTAAACTCATGAACCATGAGATCATGACCTGAGCTGAAGTTGGACACTCAACTGACTGAGCCACCCAGGCGCCCCAATGTAATGGTTTTTGTTATGTGATTACATTTATGAAGTTTTCATGTCATAAATGCAGTTATTAACTAAAGCAATAAAACATGTGTTTGTTACAGGTTGAACCCTTTTGAATGGTGGCCTTTCCATAATATTTTAAATTAACCTAATAAAATAGAATATTAATTCATCACAATAAAATTAAAAATAAGACCCTAAAAAAATGCATCTGGTTCTAACTTAGGCTGAACACACTACCATATTCTTGATATCTATTTTGCTTTCCTCACTTAAAAATGTATTTTGCATGGAAAGAATTTAGAGAAATTCAGTGTAAAAAAGTAATCTAGAATTTACTGTGGAAAAAGATGTTTTTCTCAGGAATTTTCATCCAGCTTGGGCTTCATCTCATAATGTGAATGAAGTGTGAAAATACCTCTCCAGTCCCCTGAGGTTGCAGAACACGGCACATTCCCTCTCGTGCTCTACTGAAAATAACCAAGTGAGAGCATTTCCAGAAATAATTTATTGCTGAAATTCTGAGATTTTTTGGATAGAGATGACTTAGGAGAAGCTGTTTTTTGTGTTCTTCACAAAAATAGCAGTTTCAGTTCTTTGGAAAGGGTATGGTGGTTAAATATACTTCATTGACTTTTCCGTTTTTTTTTTGTTTTTTTTTTAATCCCCCCTCATTAGGGCCGGCAAATCGAATATATCGATATAGAACGGCCTTCAACTGGAGGCCTGGGATTCAGTGTGGTGGCCCTGCGAAATCAAAATCTGGGAGAAGTTGATATCTTTGTGAAAGAAGTGCAGCCAGGAAGTATAGCAGACAGGTGAGGAGGGCATTCCCTCTGCATTTTGCTCATTTTTTTTCTGGTAATTCTGAAAACCTTATTATAAAATGAATAAGAAACTAGTAATAAAAACAGCTAACGGTAGCATCTAACACTTGCTCCCTTCCTATGCATTCGTCAAGCCTTTTGTAGATACTCTCTCGTGTACTTGTGGCAGTGATCCAGCTAGTAGTATCATCACCCTGTTTTATGAATGAGAAAGCTGGGTTTCAGAGAGGTTCAGCGCTTTACCTGCAGTCACAGAGCTTTTGGCGCTGGACCCATGAGCTGTGAAGGACTCCGAGACAGTCTGACTGCAAAGCTAGTGCTCTTTCTATTCCACCGTACTCTCCCAAGTTGAACATGGTATTTTAGCTATGTCTGATCAGTAAGTGGAAATACTGAAATTTGCATCCTAAGATTATAACAACTGTTTTGCTGGTCATATCACACTTGATTATTTCTCTCATCAATTAAAAGCCTCCTCAAATCTGTGTGATTTCCCCCTATTGTACTTGTGCTATTTTTAAATTATTTCTAAGAAGCATGTGCCAGCCTTAGGTTTTGTCTCTATATGATTCATGTCTTTTGTTATTCATTTAACAAGCACACTTGTTAAACTGTACACTTGTTAACAAGTACAGTGCTATTCATTACAGTTCTACTGCCTGTTAGAATAATGGCAGCAGTGCTGGTACTACTATAAAAAATAGTCTCAGCCAATAATAAATTTTTGAATTCACATTCTACATTCGTGGGGTATGAGTTCTAGTATCCCTAACTGAAAGTTCAGAAATAATGAATTTCCATGACTTTGCAACTTTTCTTCTGCCATTTCATGTCGCATTTCCTCAAGTATGTGCTGAGGAACCTTAGCAGTGGATAGATATATTTGAGAAATTCTATCCTGTTCTTGGAGATTGGGTATACATAGTTAGGGTAACCATATAATGTATTGTCCATGTTGGGATACTTTTGGGACTGAGAGTGTGTGCTGTTAGTGACACTGAGCCAGCAGGTATAGAGTAGGACTATTTGGACAAACCTAGACCATCCCAGGTGAACCTGGGCTTTGGGTCACTCACCATTAGTTTACTGTAGGCTTTGAAGTCCTGAGCAAAAAGCCTATTTAACTTTGATTGGCCCAACTTTTCTTTTTAATTTTTTAAAACTAATTATTATTAGGATATAATTCATATAATATAAATGTCACTGTTCTAAAGTGTACAATTCACTGTTTTTAGTGTATCTTCAATGTTGTGCAAACTTTTTGTGGTCGATCTGTGTCTGAGTTACTCTGTGCGCAGTCTGTAATTACAAATTGAGGTGAGCATTTCCAAGAAGAGGAATTTGATGTGTCAGCATGCAAAGAAGCTTGACCAAGAATAAGTGGTCAGGTGACTTCCCAGAGACAACAGTGCTCGAAGGGAAACTTGAGACAGTGGGGTCTGCAAAGAGGAGAAGGTGTTAGAAGAACAAAGAGACTATCTTGACAGCAGTCCTATGAAGAGATAGAACACAGCTCCTATCCTTGGAGTGAGGCTGTAGGAATTTAGTGCAAGACAGTATGAGAAGGGACTGGAGAGAGGTGGAGGTCAGTTATTCATGACCTTTTAGATCATGTGAAATGGTCTTCATGATCAGTTCTTCCTTTCTCCTCAGGACTTTCCACATAGAACTGTGCTATTTTAGGATCTTACCTAAGACCTTACTGTGCTATTTTGGCTCTCAAAGTAATGGGAATCCATTATTTTCAAATGTTGCAATGGAGAGACAAGAATTGGTCTCCCCTTAAAAAAAAAAAAAAAAGAATTGGTCTCCCCTTAAATGAAAAATATGAATTCAATATATACAAATATATGGGGGAGTTAAAGTATAGTTGCAGGAAAACTAATTCTATTCAACTTTAGAATGCATCAAAATCATATTTTCCAGATTTCTCTTCTCTACAACTTGTTTACCTGGGATTGAGTTTATATTCTCTGAGCAGATACTAACTGGAAAGGAATGCAGTGTCTTGGCAGTCTATTGGGTGGGGGGGAAGGTAGATTAAAATAGGTTGATTTCCAGAAAACAGAAGATTTGATAGTAAAGAACTTACACAAAATGAGTTACATCAGGGTTGAAAAGATTCAAGAGTATCTCAATCATATGAGATTAATTAAGAAATTTTCTTTAATGAACAAACTGTGAATAGGAATTTAAGTGAAGAAGTCAGAGAAAGAAGAGTATTGGAGATGGGAAAACGGAAGTGATTTCTGGTATCATCCTATAGTGGTCACATTTTAAAATAAACATTTCTTTAGGACTCAGGAAAGGTTCACAAGCCACATTGTCAATTTACAAAATATGTATTTCAAAGTTATGAAAGTAGTACATGTATAAAATAGAAAATTACAGAATATATAATACTCTTCCCCCCCGTCCCCCAACATCTAGGACTTTGATTACCCTGAGACAACTAGGAAATACCTTAGAATGTTTTCTTTTTATAAAGACAGGGTCACGGAGAATATACAATTTTTTATCTTATTTTTATCTCTTAACACAAGCCTTTCCTAATATTAATAAAAGAATATATAAGCAACTTTTTTTTTTTAAAGTTTATTTATTCTGAGAGAGATTGGGAGAGTGACAGAGAGTGCCAAATAGGCTCTGTGCTGTCAGTGCAGAACCTGACTTGGGGCTCGAACTCACGAACCGTGAGATCATTACCAGAGCCAAAACCAAGAGTAAGACGCTTAACCAACTGAGCCACCCAGGCACCCCTCTGTAAGCAACATTTTAACGGTACCTGATTTATTGTGAGAGCCATCCACAATTTTGACATCAAAAATAGATATTTCAGGGGCGCCTGGGTGGCTTAGTTGGTTAAGCGTCCGACTTTCGCTTAGGTCATGATCTCACGGTTCGTGGGTTCGAGCCCCGCGTCGGGCTCTGTGCTGACTGCCAGCTCAGAGCCTGGAGCCTGTTTCAGTCTGTGACTCCCTCTCTCTCTGACCCTCCCCTGCTCACGCTGTCTCTCTCTCTCTCTCCTAGAAATAAATAAAAATATTGAAAAAAAAAAGTTTTAAAAAAATAGATATTTCAATATCTAACTTGCTAGTTTCTTTTTTTTTTTAAGTTTTTATTTATTTAGTAATCTCTATACCCAACATGGGGCTTGAACTCACAACCCTGAGACCAAGAATTGCATGCTCCTATGACTTGATAGTTTCACAGGAGACTCTAAAGCATAAGTGTCTGTCCTCAGAAAACTTAGAATTTTATAGGATTTACCTAGCTCTGTCTACAACATATTTAATATAAATGAATACTCAATGAGTGATAAATGAGTGGTTTAGAGCATTGTGATAATGAGGTAAGTGCTGGGGAGGGTGGGAAAGACAGAGACAGACAGCTGGATCATGGAAGGTGGATTGAATTTGGCCAAGTAGAGTCAGAGGACATTAAAGATGCAGGAAACCATCTACATAAGAGTGGGAAATGCCAGGCGTGTTTGAGTGGGAAAGAATAGGTCAGAGTAGTTGGAAAAGGGGTTTATGCAGGAAGGAAGCCAAGTTGGAAGAAGTGGTTGGGAACCAAACGTACGGGCCTTTGAATACAAACCAAGTTTTACACTGTGTCCTTGAGCTCAAGTTCGAAAATTCTGACTGAGTACTTTTAGGAGGTGATTGTGAGGAGTAAATGAGATAATGCCTGTGAAGCATCTTGTGCAGTACCTGGTTCATGAGAAGTGCTCAGTAGATATTAACTGTAATAGGGGTGTTTTTTCTTAAGATTTTGGTAAAATCTTTTAAAAATAGCTCTTTTTTTCTTTTAAACCTTGATTAGCAGTTGGGCAGTTGGTGATTGGGATGGAGAAAAGGGCTTAGATAAGAGATTTAAAAGTCATGTCTGCTGATTGTCAAGGAGAGTTGGGCCTAATTATTTTTTTTTATTTTTAAAATTTTATTTTATGGTTTTTATTTATTTTTGAGAGTCTGAGAGAGACAGCATGAGCAGGGGAGGGTCAGAGAGAGAGAGAGATACAGAATCTGAAGACAGGCTTCAGGCTCTGAGCTGGCTGTCAGGACAGAACCTGACGTGGGGCTTGAACCCACGAACTGTGAGATCATGACCTGAGCCAAAGCCAAAGTCAGATGCTTAAGTGATTGAGCCACCCAGGTGCCCTGAGTTGGGCCTAATTATTGACAAGTGTTGGAGAAGCAAGGGACGATGGAGATAGGATGACTCTGCTCAAGAAGAAGTTATTGGGGAATTTGAGGATATATAGTTGCCCCAGTGTGATATATGTTGAAGTCATATTGGAAGGGGTTCAGGAGGATGCAGTTCATGCAATAATGGGGGCAGTGTTTTATTTGAAAAGCCTTGGCAGTGGGGCCCCATACATTGCGTTTGCTTATTTTTCTAGCCAAATGGTTTTATTTATTTGTCTGTCTATTTATTTAGCTCCACGCTCAAAGTGGGGCTTGAACTAAGGATTCTGACATCAAGATTCGCACGCTCTACCAATCGAGCCAACCAGGTGCCCCCCCCCCCCACCAAATGGTTTTTAAAGTGTGTGTGTGTGTGTGTGTGTGTGTGTGTGTGTGTACACATGCACGGTTCCATACATGTGCATGCACACATGTTCAGGGATGCACCACTTAATCAGTTAATTAGCTAATAAGTGCTTTGATGGAAAACACTCTGAAGAGCTCTGTTATATAATTGAGTAAATGTACTAAGTGCAAGAAATAAACTGCTTCACTCGGATAGATTTTTTTAATGATGCTATTATATTATTACTTACAAGATTTTCTTATTATATTAAGGGATCAAAGATTAAGGGAAAATGACCAAATACTGGCTATTAATCACACACCACTGGATCAGAACGTTTCCCATCAGCAAGCAATTGCGTTATTGCAACAAACCACTGGATCCCTGCGTCTGGTCGTGGCCAGGGAGCCAGGCCACACAAAGAGCAGTACTCCTACCAGTCTAACTGATACAACTAGGCCTGAAACAGTGAGTTGCAAGCTTGGAAAAAGAACTTAATTTGAATTATGCCACTGATTTTAATAACTATAAAGACATTTAGAAGGTGTCATTTCACTTGTCATACTTTAAGAAAGATCATATCTAAATATAACATTAGCATATTAAACAAGATACTGTTTTTTCAATATCCTATGGTTCTCCTTATTTAAGATTATCATTTAACATAGAGGATGAATTGTAGTATTATGTTTAACTTATTTGGTAATGGAAAGAGTCTTGTGTTCCTTGGTGATGTAAGAAGTTCCTTAATTAAGCTGATTAGAGATCAGCTTATTAGAGATTTTATTTGCAGATAATTTTATTTACAGATCAGAGATTTACTCGTAAGTATCTTAAGTAAGATTTAGTTATTTTATTTCTAAAATATTGAAAATAATTTTGGTAAATTAACATTGGGTGTTTATGACTGGATTATTGATACTGCAAAATTACAGTTTTCCTTTTCATGTAAGCATGTCTACTGAGCAATTTAAAAGAATAAAAGCCTAAGTCTCTTTTGGGAATCTTTAAACTCAGTTTATAATATTTTACAGATTTTGGCCTCCATCTTCAGAATGCAAGCTAATAAATCTTATTTTCTTATAACACTAAGTGCTAGCTGATTAATTTCCATTCACTGGGACAAAAGAAAAAATAGACCATCTGGGTACAGTACAAGGTCACAACACAAATTAATGTGTAGACATTTTCCCTGTTGCAATCAGTGATATTAATACAGCACAATTTACATAATAAATAGAATGAATAAAGCAGGAAAATGTTTTGCGTAGTGGGTAAGAACCAGGGCTCTGGAGCTGGGCTAAGGTGGGTTCAAGTCCCGTTCTTCCACTTTCTAGCTCTGTCCTATCAGGCAGGTTCTTTGACTCCCCCACCCCTCAGTTTCTTCTTTTACTTGGAACTAATAACAGTGTCTACTTACAGAGATTAAATGTGCAGATTAAATGAGAAGGTATGTGAAGAGCTAAGCACAGTTCTTGGTGCAGAATTTACACTCTATGAGTATTAGCTGTGATCATTAATTCAGGTGTATTTTAAAAAATTTTGTTCCTCTCCAGATACAAGATATTGTTCCAGACAGGAATTTATTAAATATCCCACTGTTCCTGGTTATTTTAACATTGCACAGTAACTTTCCAACTTAGTGTAATAGTAAAAACAATAAATGTATCCTAATGAGTTTGAGATGGAGTATTTTGTTCTGCAGTTAGATTATGTGAATTTAATGCACATTTCTGATGGAAGCCTGCTTATGTGGCGGGAAAATGCTTATGTCTCTCAGTCTGATTTGTTCAGTCCTATTGCTAATATCTTCAGTGGGGACTACGTTTCCTTTCCATTATAAGAGTCTGCTTAATTAATCTTTTTAGTATATGTCCTTCTCAGCATTTCATCCTTCACATTGCTGCCTGATTTATCTTACTAAACCACTGCTTTGTTCTTGTTCTCCCCTTTCTAAAATCTTCAGTTATTCCTTCTGCTAATCCAGTGAAGTAAATCCAATCTTTTTTTTAATGTTTTATTTTATTTTGAGTTAGAGCATGAGCTGGGGGAGGGGCAGAAAGAGAGGGAGAGACAGAGAATCCCAAGCAGGCTCTGAGCTGTCAGCTCAGAACCCAGTGCAAGGCTGAGTCTCCAGGAACTGTGAGATCATGACCTGAGCTGAAATCAAGAGTCAGCTGCCCAGCCAACTGAGCCCCAGATTCCCCAAATCCAATCTTTTGACCATATATTTGAATCATTCTGTTACCTTGCCCATCTTTGCTCTTACATTTCCCTTTTGCTTGAATGTGTTTTTTCTCTGTAGTGCAATTAAAATACTACCTTTTCCTCGAAGGTTTCTTGAATTCTTCATTGGATTTGACCTCCTGTCACTGCCTCTCCCACCTTCCCTCTGTCATTCTTTATAATATTTTGAGGTTCTCTTTCAGTTCAGGTAAACACATACTTCTTGATTCCTCCTGTGTGCTTGGCATTGTTCTAGATATTGTGAATAGACTAGAGAATGAGACAGCATGTCTCTGTCCTCTTACAGCTACGTGTCTCTATCCTGTTCGATTCAATATTGTGCTTCATTTTAATTATTTGTGTTTCAGATGATCTCTCTGCTGGATTATAAGATTCTCAAGGGCAGGGACCATGTGATCATCTTTATATATCTTCTAATGTTTAGAAAATTGCCTTAATTACTTGTATGAATGTCCAATTTGTGGTATATCTGTTACTTCAGTAATTATTGGGAAGCTAAGAATCTATGTCTCACTAACCATGTGGCTCTTATTTGCCATTAATTTGTAGGTTCATTGGGGCCATATTGAAGATGTTGAGCTTGTTAATGATGGCTCTGGATTAGGTTTTGGAATAGTTGGAGGAAAATCAAGTGGTGTGGTTGTGAGGACGATAGTTCCTGGAGGATTAGCAGATCGAGTAAGTTGACTTCTTTATTTTCATTTTGGAGTCATACAGCTTAAAATGTATGGTTTGAAACGTGATTTTATAACATGGGTTACTAGGACATATGACTTCATAAATAGAAATTAAGTATTGCTAAAAATGTCCCCCCCCCACGCATAAATGTGAACACACGCTCACTTGGCTTTATTTTAAACAGTTCCTACGGCAACTTTTTTTTGTGTGTGTGTGGGGGGGTGTCTGTGGTTGACAGTCTTCTTGATTCCATCAGAGAATAGTATTTTTGTTGAAGAATTGTTAATAGGTATTATATGTTGAATATCTACATTATCTCCCAGTATATCTTTCAAGGACCTAAATGGTAAACTCAGAAGGTATGGTGATTATAAACATTTGTCCAAATATTCTACGTGGTAAATTTTACTTGAAGTTTTCTAGCATCATAAGTCAAATGACTACACTTTATTATTTAAACTGAAAGTGAGCCTTTTTTTTTTTTTTTTTTAAAGTAGGCTCCTTGCGGGGCGTCTGGGTGGCTTAGTCGGTTAAGCGTCCGACTTTCACTTAGGTCATGATCTCGCGGTTCGTGGGTTCGAGCCCCGCGTGGGGCTCTGTGCTGACTGCCAGCTCGGAGCCTGGAGCCTGTTTCAGATTCTGTGTCTCCCTCTCTCTCTGACCCTCACTTGCTCACGCTCTCTCTCTCTCTCTCTCTCTCTCTCCCCGAGAAATAAATAAAAACATTAAAAAAAAAATTTAAAAAAAAAATAAAAAAATAAAGTAGGCTCCTTGCCCAACATGAGCCTTGAACTCACAACCCTGAGATAAGAATCATGTGCTCCACTGACTGAGCCAACCAGGTGCCCCTGAAAGTGGGCCCTTTTAAAACATATGAATGATTTCTGCTTAGTTTTACATTGAAGAAAATGTTAAACATTACATTTATTTTTTATTTATTTATTAAAAAATTTTTTAAAATGTTTTATTTATTTCTGAGAAAGAGAGAGACAGCGTGAGCAGGGGAGGGTCAGAGAGAGAGGGAGACACAGAATCCGAAACAGGTTCCAGGCTCTGAGCTAGCTGTCAGCACAGAGCCCAACACGGGGCTTGAACCTACGAACGTGAGATCATGACGTGAGGTGAAGTCGACCTCTTAACCGACTGAGCCACCCAGATGCTCCTACATTTAGTTTTTAGAAAGTAACTTAGAAATTTGGTTATGACACCACTTAATGATGAGTCCATCGTATGTAGACTGTCCAGGTTAATGAGAATAATATGTAAATTTCAGAGATTGATGTTCAATTACCTATACATTTATCCCTTCTAATAAGCGTAAGTAAAGATGAACTTGCCATGCAAATGCAGCTTTGAGGCAAGTTCCTCTGCTCCCCATTTCCACTTAAGGTTATTCCACCTTACACAAATGTGGAGCTACTACTATCCTTTTCGACGTCTAATTGTATTTAGAGAAGCTGCTCAGGGTTTACTCTGTGGGGGTCCCTGAGACTCTTGAAGGGGATCTCTAGGATCAAAACAGGGAAATGGCATCAAACCATGCTAGTGGTCATTGCAATCTTCTCTACTGTGTGGTCGCAACAACAACAAAAAAGTTGTTACTACAGGAAATGCAACAAAGAGTATTGTTTTTAGCCAATTTTGACATTGAAGTGCATGTCTTTTTCTTTTGAATATTGTGTGATAAAACAGCACTCCTGCTGCATATTGAATTAGGATGGCGGTTTTGAGACAAATATTTGTGAGACAAACTAGCCACTTTTTTATATAGAAAACACTTTAATTTTTTTAATTTTAAGTTTTGTGCTCTCATTTAAAATATTTTTATTTTTTTTTTAATGTTTATTTTTGAGAGAGAGATGGTGCAAGCAGGGGAGGGACAGAGAGAGAGGGAGATACAGAATCCAAAGCAGGCTCTGTCAGCCCAGAGACCGATGTGGGGCTTAAACCCATAAACAACGAACGAGATCAAGTCCTGGGCTGAAGTTGGATTCTTAACCAACTGAGCCACCCAGGTGCCCCTCAGTCAAATATTTTTTTTTGCAATATAGTGATATATAGTGTTAGTTTCAGCTGTACTTCATTCCATGTTTGTTAGTACTGTGAAGTGATCACAGTCCTCTAGTTAACGTACATCACCACTCACATTACAGTTTATTTTCTTGTGATAAGAACTTTTAAAATCTACTCTTAGCAACTTTCATATATACAATACGGTATTGTTAACTAGAGTCACTATCCTGTACATTATATCTCAATGACTTATTTATTTTATAACTGGAAGTTTGTAACTTTTGACCATTTTCATACATTTTGCCCACCTACTCCCCCTCTCCACAACCCCCCCCCCCCCCACTTATGGCAACCACAAACCAGGAAAATCATTTTTTATTTTTGAAAGAATAATTGACAGAAAAATTATGGTTATTCAGATTTGGGTACTTGGCAAACATTTCTTTGAAAGTGGATGAGGCAAGCCTGTCACTTTAAGAAAAAAAGAAAAACAACTGATGGTATTTGTTGGTGATGATAAAATTTGAACTTCCAAGTAAAAGTTAGAATTCTGGAAAGTGTCTTACCATGAGTTGAAATTTCCCAATATTTAGACTTTCTGATTAGATTATTGCTGATATTAATACGATTTTAAAAATATTATATAATGAAATATGTCTATATTTGGAGATCTGCCTAAGTCTGTAGATCAATATTTTCCGAAGACCAATGTGTGATATGACAATATATAGGTAAAAGGTCCATTCAGAATTCAAAATTGATCAATAGATTTTAATGAAACAGTATTTGAAAGTTTGTTGATGTAGTTGCAGATTCAACATTGCCACTGAGCTTTAAGAAACTACACCTTGTCAAATGTTGGTGTGTTATCAAAGAAGGATGAGCCTGAAGGGCTATTAAAGTACTCCTCCATGTTCCAACTATGTATCTTATGGAGGCCAGATTGTCTTTGTATACTTTAGTCAAGCAACATATGGCAACATATTGAATGCTAAAGCAGATGTGAAAATCCAGTTGTCTTCATTTAAGCCAGATATTCAAGAGATTTCCAAAAAGATTTGAAACTACCACTCTTCTCACCATTTTTTCTTAGAAAATATAGCTTTTACTTTCAAAATAAAAAGTGTATACATAAATAAAAATATATTACATGTATTAAATGTATTAAATTTTTTTTTAATGTTTATTTTTGAGAGAGAGAGATAGAACATGAGTGGGGGAGGAGCAGAGAGAGAGGGAGACACAGAATCTGAGGCAGGCTCCAGGCTCTAAGCTGTCAGCACAGAGCCTGACTTAGGACTCGAACTCACGAACAGCCAGATCATGACCTGAGCTGAAGTCAGACATTCAACTGACTGAGCCACCCAGGCGCCCCACATGTATTAAATATTTTAAGAATTTCTCTGCTATTTTTTTTTATTCTTTTTTTAAATATTCTTTTCAAGAGAGAGAAAGAGTGCAACAGGGGAGGGGCAGAGAAAGGGAGACAAAATTCAAAGCAGGCTCCAGGCTCCAAGCCGTCAGCACAAAGCCTGATGGTGGGGCTCGAACCGATGAACTGTGAGATCATGACCTGAACTGAAGTCAGATCCTTAACTGAGCCACCCAGGCGCCCCTTCTCTGCTATTTTATAATTCAGTAGATATCAATAGAAAGAACCACATAATAAAAGCCCTTTGAGATTCTCAGTAATTTTTGAGATATAATTAGCATACAATAAGCTACACATATGCAAAATATACAGTTCAATGAATTTGACGAGGTGCCTGGGTGGCTCAGACTCTTGATTTCGGCTCAGGTCATGATCCCAGGGTTATGGGATTGGGCCTCATGGCAGGCTCTACACTGAGTATGGAGCTTGCTTAAGATTCTCTCTCTTTCCCTCTGCCCTCTCCATTTGTGCTCTCTCTCTTCCCAAATAAAAAAAATAATTTTTGAAAGGGTTTTTTTTTTTTTGATGTTTATTTATTTAAAAAAATTTTATGTTTTATTTATTTCTGAGAGAGAGAGAGAGACAGCATGAACAGCGGAGGGTCAGAGAGAGAGGGAGACACAGAATCTGAAGCAGGCTCCAGCTCTGAGCTGGCTGTCAGCCTAGAGCCTGACACGGGGCTCAAACCCAAGAACCGTGAGATCATGACCTAAGCTGAAGTCAGACGCTTAACCAACTAAGCCACCCAGGTGCCAGGATGTTTGTTTATTTTTGAGAGTATGAGCAGGGGAGGGGAAAAAAAAGAGGGGGACAGATGATCTGAAGGAGGCTTTGTGCTGATAGGCAGACAGCCTGATGTGGGGCTCGAACTCACAGACTACCAAGATCATGCTGTGAGCTGAAGTCAGAAGCTTAACTGACTGAGCCACTCAGATGCTCCCCCCAGATCATAATAACAACACCAAAATAAATTTGACCTATGTTTTACTGGTCAGTCTGAAGTGTGTAGGGCAGTCCAGGATGCTGGAAACTCAGGCAGGATTTGGTGTCGTGGTCTGGACTTTGAAATTTGTAGGGTCAGTTGGCAAGATTTCTTAGGAAACTCAGGCAGGATTTCTGTTAGTGTCTTAAGGCAGAATTCCTTTTTCTCTAGGCAGTCTGTTTCTGCTCTTAAAGACTTCAACTGATTTGATGGAGCAACCCTCCCCCCATGTTATTAAGAGTAAAGTCAACCAATTATAGATATTAATCATATCTGCAAAATACTTTCATAGTATCATCTAGACTGGTGTTTCACCAAAGAAACTAGGTACCATAGCCTTGCCAAGATGATGCATAAAATTTAACCATTGTACAATCTGTCTCTTCAATCAGGAAAATGAGCATATCCATCACCCACAGAAGTTTCCTGTGCTTCTTTGTAATTCCCATTTCTCCATCTTCAGTAATTTTTAAGAGTGTGAAGCATTAATGAGATGAAAAAGGCTAAGAATGGCCATTTTATGGGCCTTCACAACACATTTGGGGGCAGAAAGCATACTCTTTAAGGGTTTTT